TTACTATGTTCTTGGAGCTCTGGTGGCGTAGTTCCTAAGGAATTTGACTGCCAACCAAAAAGTTGGCGGTTCTAAGCCACCAGCCACCCTGCAGGAGGAAGACTGGGCAATCTACTTTCGTACAGATTTACTGCCTCGGAAACCCAAAGGCAGGGGGAGCTCTGGTAGTGTGGTGCCTAAGACACTTGACTGCTAACCAGAGGCTGGTGGTTCAAACCCACCAGCCACTCCTCACAAGGAAGGTTGGGCAATCTACTTCCATAGTAATACTGCCTCGGAAACCCAAGGAGGGGTTGCTATGAGTCGGGTCCGACTTGATGGCACATAACAACAACATTTCCAAGAATGCAACATCTTAAGGAGAGATGGATTATTGGGAAAGTTTTGAAAATAAAGTACATTCACTTCAAAAAAATCATTAAAGACAAATGTCACAGGAAACCCAAAGTGGGTCACTATGAGTCAGAATCAGAATCAACTCAATGGAAGTGAGCTTGGGTTTTTTGGTTTATGAGTGAGTGGCCTCTCTAGCCAGACATACCATCTCCACACTGCAGGACTTCCTTCACTTTGTGACACTGGGAACTACAAACCCACAATCCCTTGTCCATAATTCCAAAACCCAAAAAGTTCTGAAAACCCAATTTTTCTGTAAGTTAGCCATAAGTTTGGCACAGTCTCATTGGGTGGTGAAACCCTAAACCTGATATCCCCCTTAGTGAGGATATGTCTACGTTTTTTTGCAGAAATAATTTTGTGTTTCATTATGGGGTGCTCTTTTCTGAAATCTGAAGAACTCGGAAGGTAAAATGGCTGTCCCGAGATTTTGTATAGAGGGTCAAGGACCTGACATGACCACTGAACCTTTGTTACATAAGTAAATATCTTCCTTTAAAAATGCAGACTCTTCAGGAAGAGCATGAACTAATGGTCTTTAACAATGTAGCATAAATTTGCTCCCTTGCCTTCCTCCTAAAACCTCACTGTTATCAGCTGCATGGAGAAAAGGAGACAGGGACTAGAACATTCTAAAACATGTGGAATTTGAAGCAAATAAGGTGGTGCAGTATCTAAGGCATTTGACTGCTAATCAGAAGGCTGGGGGTTCAAACCCACCAGCTGCTCCATGCAAGGAAGATGGGGCAATCTACTTCTGCAAAGATTTACTAACTCGTGAACCCAAAGGAGTCAGAGTTGATTCCATGGCAGTGGTTTTGGCAGAGAGGCCCTCAGGAAAGGAAAAGTGCCAAGAAACCTAGAGACCTAAGGAGAAGGATACAGAAACAGAAGTAAGAGCACAGCAAACCTCTGACAGATTTTCAAAATTCAAACCAGGGCTCAAGAAAGAGATGGGAAACTCTCTTTGTCCTCCTACCTGTCCTGCAAGCCCTATTCCCAGAATTGAGGCCCCTGCTATTAGTAAACTGCTGCTTTAAGGAAGATGCTAAAGAAAAAGCTTTGTAGGTCAGGCTGGTAACCGAATCACATTTTCTTTATGGAAAAATGTGTTTCACGTTCCAAATAAACAACTTGCAAATAATCTTCTGGGAATAAAATTTCAGAGTATTAGTCCCTGCAACAGGTACCCTCCTCCTGATATTACTGCACAGGGAAGAAAACCTCCAGGTCAAGGTATGCCCTGTCACAGGGGAAAAGCCACCTTGTAGGTGTCACTGCAACAAAGCATTGATAAAACAAACACACACACACAAATTGCCAGAACCTGAATCCCAAGCCAAAGAAAGAAACAAGCCTTCAAACACAGGACCATAAGTAAATGAGGTCAGACTCACACACAGTCTCTCCAGCCTCGGATTCTGACTCAGACAAAAATGCCAAGGGGCAGGGACATCCCCTGTGATCTCGAAGTATAAGACAGCAATGTCCAGAGTTATAGAGATGTTCCTACAAAACCTCAAAGAGCATAATGTATTAGATCTACCATTTGGGAACCTATCTACATGTTCAACTTGTAACACCCTTGAAAAGAGTTACAGCAGAAAAGAATAACTGACTATCCATGTGCCCAGGTTTTGCCCACATCACCTTACTGTATGCACACTACAACTCTAAGGAGAAGGTATAGCTGCCTCATTATAATAGATTAAAAAAAAAAAAAAAAAAAAAGAGGCTTGCAGAGGCTATAACTTGCAAGGCAGAGCCAGGTCTGTGTGACTCCGAAATCCAAGCTTTTCCCCACTACACTGCCTGAGTTAAGTAGGACTTCTTTTCACTTGTTCCAAACATCCTGTTTCAAACATCAAAGAAAGATCACTTGGGGGGCCTGGACCTTTTCAACCACAGGTAACTTCCCGAGCCTTCACTGTTTTCAGTGACCATGTTCTCTCCCCACCAGATCCCCCATCCATCTTCACAGACACATTCATCTCACTGACAATTCTGTTTGCCTTTTATCTCCTGATGTTATTACCAGAACTTCTAAGGCCACATGCACAGAAGTTCTATACCAAATAAAATAAAATAAAATAAATACCTGGTTTCAAATGCCCTAACAGACCTAATCCAGCTCTTTGTTCATGTTTTTGGGAGGGTGGAGAGGATGCCTCTTCTGATCTTGAAAATCTCTCCCTCCTGAGACCTTCCAAGTCCCTGGATGATACAAGTGGTTTGTAATTGGCTGCTAACCTGTAGGTTAGCAGTTCAAACTCACCCAGTGGCACCACAGAAGAAAGGCCTGGCAATCTGCTTCTGTAAAGATTAAACCCACTGCTGTCAAGTTGATTCCAACTCATAGCAACCATATAGGGCAGAACACCGGCTAGCAGCCAAGTGTTTAAGCACTGTGCAAAAAATAAAACCACACAGAACAGTTCTACTCTGGAACATATGGGCTCGGTCTGGTGGCATAGTGCCTAAGGCATGTGACTGCTAAGCGGAAGGCTGGCAGTTCAAACCCACCGGCCCACTCCTCGGAAGGAAGGTTGGGCAATCTACTTCCATAGTGATATCTCGAAAACCCAAGGAGGGGTCGCTATGAGTCGAAATCGACTTCACAACAGTGAGTTTGGTTTTTTTAATGAATCAAAAAGAACTTGATGGCAATGGCATTGGGTTTGGTTTTTTTTTTTTTTTTTGAGACTCTCCAAGGGATTACAAAATGTGAGACAGCATGGAAGAAACACTGAATGCTTCAAAACATCAGCTGTGTTTGGCTTAGCCTACTGTCTCCTCTGTTAGAATTTTAAAAGTTATCTGTGGTCAGTCCTTCTTAGCTCAAGGGGGGAGAGGTGTCAGTTCATACCCTTCCACTTCTCCAGGAAAAACCAAAACCAAACCCACTGCCAAGGAGTCGATTCCAATTCATAGGGACCCTTTAGGACAAAGTAGAACTGCCCATAGGTTTTCCAAGGCTGTAAATCTTTACAGAAGCATACTGACATCTTTCACCCACAGACTGCTAGTGGGTTCAAAGGGCTGACCTTTTGGTTAGCAATGGAATGCTTTAACCACTACACCACCAGAGCTCCTTTTCTCCAGAAAAGCAGTCCAAGATTCTTCCCTAGTGACTCCACACTGGATTCCCAGTTATTTGAGATGAACTAAAAAGAAGCCACCGTGTGTAAATAAAAGTTACAGACAATGATGCCAGAGACAAACTCACTCACGTCCCTGCACAACCAGCCTTTCTAAATTAGTGGTTTAAACACCAAGGGCAGTTTCTCTCAATAAATTCTCAGCCACTGAAACTCCAGAGCCCCGCCTCCCAGAGGGCGAGAGGAGGGGTGGATGGGGGGTGGGTGGAGGGGGAACCAGGGCGAAATAAAGAAGACAGCCCCACCTAAAACACTTTTGCCCCATCCCTGGCAGCTTCCTCACCAGGTCAAGAGCTTAGCACGCATAGCCCAGATGTGGAAAGGGCTCTCTCCCTCTGGCAAGACGCTGCCCACTCAGCCCTCAGGCAGCCCGGACTCCCCAAGTCTCAGTGTTGCCCCAACCGTCACCTGACCCCTTTTGCAGCCCCGGTCTTTGCTCTCTTTTCAGGACCTTTTCACCTCAGGATCCCTCAACTCTTGCTCTCCACCTCTTCGGGACCCATTAGCTTTTGTCCTCGAGTTTCCCAAGTCCTGATCCTCCCCTCTAAAGCCCCACCACCACCACATCCCTTTCCTGCCCCCACGCCTAGCACTGCCCACGCACCCCAATCTCATCCAAGCCCCGCAGGGTCCTACCTGGCGGCGGCTGCCGCTCACTCTCAGCCATCTTTCTCTCTCCAGAAGCCGGCCCGGAAGCCTGCGGTCCCCTCTCACCTTTCACCTCCGAACCCAACCTTCCTTTCTCCAGCTCCACCCCGGGCGTAGAGCTTTCAAAAGACAAATGGGCACCGGCCGGCTATAACCGAAAATTGAGAATTAGAGTCAGCACAGCATAGACGACCGCCATGTTGGTGCGGGGCAGTCTGGGAGCATGCCCACCAACGGCCGGCTCGCGGATAGAACGCTTACTGGGAAGCGGCAGCCATGTTAGTGCGGGGCACTCAAGAGCATGCGCACCAACGGCTATCCTGCCACCCTACCCACTAACCGCCCGCGGAGGAATGGGAAGGTGTGACAGCCATACTTTTGAGGGGCTGTCAAGGTTAGTTGGTGCGGCAGCCACGTTTCTGCAGGGCAAGCCCCACCTGTCATCTTTGTGCGTGGCACTCTGTCTCGATGAATATTAGAGGACATTCCCTTGTCAGCATGGTTTGTGTCTTCCTGCTATTATGAAGGTAACGCTCAAGGACACTAAATGAACTGGGATGGATGCACACCACTGCCTCCAACAGCTTAGTCTAGAAGAGCGCAGACGGCATTTGCAAGTGGGAGAGAGAAAGCTGGACAGTGACTTCCACCTAGCCCCCTCTGGCTGAGATCCAGCGCGTTGCTGTGTCTTGCAACCGCTAATTGCGCCCTTGGCCCCGCCCCGGGGATGGCCCCGCCCTGAGCTGTGGCCCTGCCTCAGGGCTCGCGGCTAGCCGCCTGGGGTCGCCAACGAACTAGAGGCTCCGCCCCGTGCGTGCTCCCTCCTGCGGGCCGCGCGCCCGCCCGCACGGTCCGGTGGGTGGGCGTGGGGCCACCTCTACCCGCTAGCGGCGGTGACTCGGCGACCTTGGGCCCGGCGGCCCTAGCGGGAACCCACCGGCCGGCCACAGCGGCGGCGGCGGCGGCGGCGCGAACTTTGACCAGCGCGGGGGGCGGAGCGGACTGTCCGTCCGCGGGCGGGCAGCAGAATGTTGGCCTTCGCTGCCAGGACTATGGTGAGTGCGGTCGGAAGCTCGGCCCAGCTGGCCCTGGACAGGCCGGGAGGGCCGAGGGCCGGGCAGGCCAGTCATTTGTGCCAGAATGGGGAAGCGGGCCACCGAGGCGACGTAGCCAGCGCCGAGGGGCCGCTGTCCAGCCTGGCCTCCCGTTGGTGGAGTGGGGTCAGCAGGCGGGTTTCCCTCATTTGGCAGAGGATACTGAGATGGAAGATGGATCCCACGTGAGGGAGTCGAACTCATGTCCTGTGGCACTAACTTCCAAAGACCTGGCAAAAACAGTAGGGGGCCCTGGCTTCAGTCAACAACTCCACCCTTAGACCCAGTGCCAAGTGGGAAGGGAGATCAGGAGTGTCATCAAGCTGCTTTTGACAAGCAGCTGCTCTTCTCAGACTTACACACCCTTCCCTACGCTCAGGCTGAACAGTCTCGCCAGAGCCACATCTCTAACGCCCATCTAGTTGGTCAGCCTTCTGGGTTTATCAAATGGCCCATATGTGGCCAGAGAAATTATTCTGGAGGTATCAAGCTTTGCTGCTCAGGAAGTCCTCAGAACTGACAGGTAGCAGCAGGTGGTAGCCCCATGTCCTCCCCACCACTACAGGTCTCTCCCCCAACCTGCCTGCTCTTCCCCCCACCCTGAGTACCCTGTACCAAGCAATGCCGCCTTCCTGATTTGGACTCCTGTCTTCTGATCCAGGGATCTCTCTGTTTGTATCTCCCCCTGCCTGTGCCAAAAAGGATGTTTACAGACATTACCAGGCTGGGAGGGCTGAAGGTCTGCTGGCTGAGACAGTCAGACTTAGAGGTTCTTTGGGGTTTTCCAGGACCTAAAGTTCCTCCTCATCTTTTACACTGCTACCCCGGCAGCTCCCCATTCCACTGACAACCTCTAGGTCATCACCCAGAAGGACCTGGCTGGCCTAATCACTTTCCTGCTGGGGAAACTGAGGCAAGGAGGGATTTGATTATTGAGCTTTAGTTCAGTGCCAAAGCCGGCATCCTTTTGGTTTATAGTTAATGCCAGAAGTCATCCACTCTTGTCACCTAGCTTCATGAGCTTGAGAAAAGCCAGGTCACCCAGAAGTAGAGTCCTAGAGGGAAGTGGGGGGTGGGCAGGGTTCTTGGCAACCACAGGCTCACTTCTGGTCCTCCCCTGGTGTCTGCTCCCTTGCCCCAGCCCTGATTTCAGGGTCAATTGCAGGGCTGCAATGTAACCTCAGCAGCCTGGTAGTTTCTGCCCTCCAGCCAAGTTTTCCCTCATCAAACAGATCCCAGCAGGTGGATTTTTTTAATACATTTTGGCCTGCCTCCCTGGTGTGGTGCCCATTCAGAGAAGAAAATGAGACTGTTTTCCAGGTTTCCTCCCACTCAGGTGCGGTGCGCTCCTCTGATCTCTCACCTGCTCCCCATTCCTCTGCTTCTGGAAGCTAAGGGAGTGGAGCAGCTTATAGATATTAAGCAACTTTCCCTGACACATTGTCAAACACCACCACCACCACTGCCACCTCTGTGTGCCCCTGAACCTTGGCTCTTGTCTTCTTTTTCCAGCCCAGGCAGGTGGCTGCCTCTTGCTAGGTTCTGCTCGCCCACTCGGTAGCACAGTTAGGCTTAGAGGTCCAGCCCAAGGCAGACAGACAGGGCTCAAAACCTCAGTCCTGCCATGGAAGACGGGCAGCAGGGAGAGAAGGTATGGAACAGAGCCTCTGCAGCTTGCCTGCTCGCTGCCTCAGACCTTCCTGTCTCTTTTTCCACTGGCCTCCAGAGTCTCCTAGACTCGCTCTTTCTCTCTGTGTTGCCTCTCCTGCTCCATGCCAAGCTGCTCAGCTCTCTCTTGCCCCAGCATTGGCCCCATGCCTCCCATCCTCCACCACCACTAGTGAGGAAAAGGCCGAGGCCTAACCACTTCACCCAAAGGTGCGGTCATACTCTGGCTCTCTGATTTTCTCTTCCCTCCTATTTCTCTACCTGGAGGCATCTGGGAGGAGCAGTCACCTCCCTGCTGGTTGACTCCTTTTCCCAGGGTGAGAAAGGTGGGGCCCTATGCATCGAGGCAAGTGGGAGGGCCCCCTCACTGCCACCACCCCTGATAGGTGCTATCCCTTCTGACTGGGTTCCCAAACTCTGCCCTCCCCTCTGCATCTCCAGGCCCCTAAGAAGTGGGGACACCCATAGCTTGAGGGCTGGGAGGCAGGGCGTGTACAGCACCACCCAGGAGGCTGTCTCTGACCCCAGGGATGAGCACATAAGTACCCAGGACTGTGCCTTTGGGGTTGTCAGGGCCTCCTGCCAGAGCTGGTAAGACAATGAGCAGGATGTTCTGCTGCCTGCAGGTGAAGCCCCTCGGCCTCCTCAAGCCCAACTCCCTGACCAAGGTTTCCAGCCGCTTCAAGGCACACCAAGATGCACTGCCCCGGCTGCCCGTGCCCTCACTCCAGCAATCCCTGGACCATTACCTCAAGGCACTACAGCCCATCGTGAGCGAGGAGGAGTGGACTCAAACCAAGCAGCTGGTGGATGAGTTTCGGAACCCGGGGGGTGTCGGGGACCGCCTGCAGAAGGGGCTGGAGCGCAGGGCCAGAAAGTCAGAGAACTGGGTGAGTAAGTTTACACTAGTGTCTAGTTTACAACCCCTTTTTCAAACAGAACCTTCTGGCTAAAGAAGTAGAGGCATCCCTTCTCTACCCACAGTGTCCCTTGAGGGTTTCTGCCAACGCCTGGCATAGTGATTCTCACTGAGGGAACACCCACCCTGTCTGTATTGCCACCACCTGCTGAATCTCCTCTTGTCTCCCAAGCTCTGGGCTGAGGCTCTGAGATCGACCAGTGGCACGAAGGCCCCTGGCTGAAGGGCAGCCAGCTCTGTCCCCAAGGGGAAAGCGCTCTAGACTGGCTCACCTAGCTCCCAACATGACTTCTAGGTTGTCACAGTGTCCCTGGTCTACAGATGAGGGAACTGAGATGCAGAGAGGTAGATCAGAAGGCTAGAGCCACATAGCAGCTCTCAAGGAGACCCTGAACTGCACGGGAGACCCTGGCTGACTTGGGGCCTCACTCCTCAGATCATTAGTCAGCAGACAGCATTCTTCTGCTGGTGTGCAGTACAACCTGGGGCAAGCCATCCCCCTCACCCCTTGCCAAGGTCCCAAGGCTAGTGGCCCAGTCCTCCAGGTGACCATTTCTCCAAAAGGAATCTGTGTGGTGAAGAGGTACATCCCACATCCCTGCTGTTGGAAATGAGGTGAGCACAGTGGTCCCCAGGGGTTGAGGGATATGCCAGAGAGGGGAGTGTTGGGCCTGTGCTCTGGGGGAGAAGCAAGTGTTGGCAGTCAACATATAAGGCTTGTCAGTGGCAGTCACCTGGGCGTAGGGGTTGTGCACAGTCCCAGGACAGGAGTCTATAACAATATGCTCATAGGTGGACGGTCCCTAGAGAGCCACTGTTCACCCTGTAGAAAAGAGTCCTGCCCCAGGGCAGAGGACAGACATCAGGGTGGAGACACAGATGTGTCATCCACCACTTGTCACCAGGGCAGTGATTTACCCCCATGAGACTCCCCTTCAGATTGCCCAGACCCTGAGATCATCCTTAAGGTCAAAATGGGTGTCCACTTCCCCATCAGACACCAAGAAAATGGAGGCCACAGAGAAGGAGCATGGTCCCATGTGCAACTCTAAAACCCTGGACTCCTGCCTCCTTGGATAACTCCCAGCTGGGAACGGTCAAAACTTCATTCATTTTACTTTCATTTTATATGGTTACTTTCTTTTCCTTTCTGTCTAAGCATATATTTTTATTTATAATAGTATTATAATCATTAACAGAAAAATTGTAAAATAAAGAAAAATCATTCATGTTCTTTACTCTTTCTTCTCCTGGCCCCAGGTTTCCTTCTGGTCTTTTTTCTTTCTTCTCTTTTTATTGGCAGTGTTGTCTGATTTCGCTCGCCAATCCTAATTGGCTCAGGCTAAGGGGAAGTTAGGAGCTCTGGTAGCATAGTGCCTAAGGCATCTGACTGCTAACCAGAAGGCTGGCAGTTCAAACCCACCAGACAGTCCTCAGAAGGAAGGTTGAGCAATCTGCTTCCGTAGTGATACCACCTCAGAAACCCAAGGAGGGGTCACTGTGAGTCGAGTTCAACTCGACGGCAGTGAGTTGGGTTTGGCTTTTGGTTAAAGGGAAGATGATGGGAGTGCTGCTGGTGGGTTTAAGGTGGGGGGTAGTTTCTGCATGTGAGCATTTACCTCGAGAATGTCCAACAACAAATACTGTATGACCTCACTTATATGAAATAAGCAAATACAGTAAGACCTGTGGAAGCTGGAACTGTTTAGGCAGAAACCTGTCAGAGAAGGAAAATGCAAGTATTTTCCACTAATAGCAATAGAAAAGTACCCTGTCAAAAGCAGGAAACTTGTGAGACCTATAAAAACAAGGTAGTCCCACTGAAGTCCAGCTCTTGCAGGTTTCACTGTATATAGAAACTAAAACTTATTAGTGGTTACCAGGAACAAGGGTAAGAGCTCTGATGGTGTGATAATTAAAGTGTTTGGCTGTTAACCAAACCAAAAGGTTGGTGGTTGAAACCCACCAGCCACTCCACAGGAGAAGGATGGGGCAATCTACTTCCATAAAGATTTACAGACTTAGAAACCCTATGGGGTAGTTCTACTATGTCTGATAGGTTCTCTATGAGTCAGAATCGATTGGATGGCAGTAGGTTTGGTAGGGATTATAGGGGAGGGGGGAAGCGGGGATAAAGAGAAAGACAGTTTTTGCTTGAGGGGAACTGAATTTATGTTAATGGTGGTGTAATAATTAGGAGAAAGGTGGGGATGAGGAGTGTGTAACATGAAGAGTAATCGGTGTTAATTAAATTGTGCACATAGAAACCGTGCAATTGGTAGATGTTTTCTTGTATTTTCACCACAATACATTTTTTAAAAATAAATAAATAAAATGGAAAAAAGAAAAAGAATGCCTAACAAGGCACTCAGCGTCTGTGCTTGGGAGAAAGTGCAGAGGGCACTAGGTCCCAGCCAGGTCCCCTCCCACCTGTCCTGATGGGCTCTGGTCCTTCCCTTCAGCTGTCCGAGTGGTGGCTCAAGACAGCGTATCTCCAGTACCGCCAGCCTGTGGTCATCTACTCCAGCCCCGGCCTGATGCTACCCAAGCAGGACTTTGTGGACCTGCAAGGCCAGCTCCGGTGAGTGGCTGAGGCTGGGGACAGGTTGCGGGGTGGGCAGGCAGCCAGGGGATAGGGCTCTACACTTTCCAAGGCCCTGAAACCCAACTCCCCCAGAAAAGATGGGTTCCAGCCCTGTTCATTAGCTTCCATCCCCACAAACAGCCTTTTGAGGTAGGGAGTATCTTCCTTATTTTACAGAAGGGAAAACTGGGGCTCAGAGCAATGAAGAGACCTGCCTAGGGTTACAGCTCAGAATTGACCCAGCCAGGGTAGGAAGCAGCATTTCTCCAGCTCCAGAACCTCCTAACTTCTAACCACTAAGCCAGGCACTGAGTCCTCTCCCTCCCCAAACCTGAGGCTCTCCCCCTACCACCATAGTCTTGATACTTCACCCTTCCTTTCCTCTCTTCTGTGCTGGCCAGGGGGTGACCTTTATACACAGTCCCCTTTTCTGTATTTGGCCTCATCACCTGCCTGGCCTCTGTTCCAGTCCTCCTAGAGATAAAAATACCAGCAACAGGGATCTCCTTCCCAAGGACCAGCCACTTGGGGCCACCACCTGCTGCTCTTAAAGGCACCAGGGCACTCTGGGGAAAAGATAGCAGGTTCAGACTCAAGCCACTCAAGACCTCTAACTATTGGTCCATGTGTTGGGGTCAGGGGCTTCCCCAGACCTCAGGGTATGGTTGGTGTGATCCAGAAGGCCCTTCTTTCAAACCCAGATGGCCCAGGGAAGAAGGCCAGGTAGAGGGTGGTGACTTGGGGGAACAAGGAGCCAGAGAAGGGAAGGGATCTAGTAAATGGGACATTTTAAGCCACTGGCCTCTGACTGACACACATGCTCCCCACAGGCCCAAGTCCCTCCATAACTGAGGCTTCAGAACAGAGTGACGCACACATCCCCAGACTCCAGGCTGTGGCTCAGGGCTTTAGGCCCCATGGAGGTGGCATCAGCTTGCACTGACCTCTAAGCCAGCCATAATTGCGCTGCCATTCATAAGTACCAAAGTTGTGCGAGACCTTTGACCAACAGCATCTCCCTGAGCCCTCCTTCCCTCTAGAGATGCCAGAAATGGCCAAAGGGCAAGCTGGGACTCATCACAGCCTTCTTATGAGCACCTTCAGACTTTCTGCAGGCGGAGGAGTGAAGCAATCGGCCACAAGCAGTACTCTGCTCTCCTGCCCTGGACAGAGCATCTCATCTACACAGCTTCTGATCGCTTCTCTCATTGGTCCCTCCAGGTTTGCTGCTAAACTCATCGAGGGTGTATTGGATTTTAAGGTCATGATTGACAAGTGAGTAACCCCAGCCCCACCCCCTCCTGCCCCGTTCCACAGCAGATGGGGGCCAGCATAGGTGTTTGCCGCCAGGTGACGATGGCGCAAGGTCACACATTGTTTCGTTCTGTTGTACATAGGTCATTCTGTTGTACACAGGGTTGCTGTGAGTCAGAACCGACTCGTTAGCACCTAATGACAACATCCCCTGGCTTGGCATGTCTAATTACCACAGCCATTCCAGCCTTGTCCAACTAGCCTGCCGTGTCCCCTCACCCCCAAATCCTGACCCCAGTGAGGTAGCCTGGGTGCTGAGTGGGCCCAGAGTTCTGTCATTTTTACTTCCTGTTTGCCCAGCATCTGTCCAGGTAGAGGAGACAGAGCACAGGGGATTGGGACTTCTAGGTTCTCTGCTTTGCTGTGACTGCCTCCTGGTGACACCATCCTAGCAGTCCCTAAAAAGTGTGACATCCCAGCTACAGAGGCCCCAGAGGTTGACTCACAACCTCATCACCCCCATGGCAAACTGAAGCTCAGAGAGGGGGAAGGAGTTTCCCGGGTGACTCACAGCAGGGCCAGTCCAGGGCAGAATGCAGCTCCTGACAGCCCCCAGCCCTTCCACAGGGGGCCTGACGCTAACTGCGGGAGGTGCACTCAGCCTGGCCCACCTCCAGCAGTGCCTGCAAAGCTCCTCAGTCCTGTCCTCCTCTTCCCACTTACATGGCCCAATAGCCTCTTCACTGTCCCTTTGTCCCCACAGTGAGACCCTGCCCGTAGAATACCTAAGGGGAAAGCCGCTGTGCATGAACCAGTACTATCAGATCTTGTCATCCTGCCGTGTGCCAGGCCCCAAGCAGGACTCAGTCATCAACTTCAGCAAGACCAAGAAGCCACCCATGCACATCACCGTGGTACACAATAACCAGGTAGGGGTCTTGCTGCCCACAGCTGCAGATCCCACCCTACCATGTCAGGGGAGGAGGGGCAGGGCCAAAAGTCAGCTACTCCCACCCCACTCCCCTAATACACATGCCCATGTGCTCCTGGGAATAGGTGTGTGGGTCTTTCCACTGAGTAACCAGGTAACCTCAGAACTGAGGGAGGACAGGAGGCAGCAATCCAAGGCCTCTTCCCTCCCTCTCTCACCCCTGGCTTGACTCGCCAGTTCACCCAGGCCCTGGGTGGCAGTGGCTGTGACCTCAGGCATGCTGAGGCTGGAAGAAGGCTGGTATGAGAAGGTGACTGCTGCCTGCCTGAGATAAACTCAATAGTCGCCCCCCTTTCCGCCCTGGACAGTTTTTTGAGCTAGACGTATACCACAGCGATGGGACCCCCCTCACCTCGGATCAGATCTTCATACAGCTAGAGAAAATCTGGAACTCGTCATTGCAGACCAACAAGGAACCCGTGGGCATTCTCACCTCCAACCACCGCAACTCCTGGGCCAAGGCATACAACACACTCATCAAAGGTGCCTCCTCAACCTGGGAACAGGGGACAAGGGAAACCAGGGGTCTCATACTGAGACCCCCTCATCCAGGCCTCCTTCCACACCCGCGCTGGGCCCATCATCAGGCCCTGTGCAGCCATGCTCCTCACTGTCCTCTACACTCTTGACTGGAGGCTGTTGTCCCTGCTTCCAGGGGGGAAATCAAAGCTCCGTTTGTTGGTTTTCCTCTATTAAGCTGCAGATTGGGGCTAGGTTCCAAACCCTCTGGCTGAGGGGCCCACCTCTTCCTCCACGCTCCCTCTGCCTAAACCCCCAAACCCTACATCTGTCAGAGCATTGTCCCCAGAGTCACATCAGCTGTGTTGGATCCCTGATTGCCATACTGGCTCCCGGTGTGACCTCAGCCTTCTGCTTCCTCATGTCTAAAGTAGGTTCAGGTGTTGGTCCCTTCCTTATGGAATGCTGTAGAGCTCTCATGCCCAGAACATGGGGGTTCTGGAAGCACAGCCTTCTGCAGCAGGGAGTGTCCCATCCCCAGAGGGGCACCAGTAGGCCAGGGGAACCCTGGGCAGGGAGAACTCTGACACTCACCCCTTCTGTCGTCCTTGCCCACCCACCCTTATGCTGCGTGCAGACAAGGTGAACCGGGAGTCTGTACGCTCCATCCAGAAGAGCATCTTCACCGTGTGCCTGGACGCACCCATGCCACGGGTCTCAGAAGACGTGTACCGCAACCATGTGGCTGGCCAGATGCTGCATGGTGGCGGCGGCAAGCTCAACAGTGGCAACCGCTGGTTTGACAAGACACTGCAGGTGGGCCTCGGCTGAGAACCACACAAGGGCCATGATTCGCTACTCCAGAAACACACCCAAACGTGTCCACTGTGGCCCTAGGGGCTTCCTGCCCCTCCCCTGGCCCAGCGTCCCTCGCCTCCCAGCTTGTAAAGCATACAGGAAGCCAGCAAGCTGGTTGCCACTGTAATTACTGGGCAGCAGCCTGTCATTACAGGGCCTGGCATGCTGGCCCAGAAGCTGCTGTTACCCTAGTGTGCCCCATCAGCACATGGGTAGAGATGCTGGGATCTGGGGCCAGGCAGAGCTGTGCAGTCTTGGCCATGCCTTTCCCTTTCTGCAAAACAGGGTAGTAGTACAACCCCCTGGTAGTGTAATTGCAGGGGCCTAGTGAGGGACACTGAGCATGGGACATGCTTAGGACAGGCCTGGGACAGGTACCCCAGAGCACCCAGTGAATGTTAGCTATTATGAATAACAGTAGGAGGCAGCATAACCCTTGGGATGGCTTTAGAGGGTGCCCTTCTCACAGCACCCAAACCAGAGTGGCTGGGTCAGGAACCACCCTCCAGGGACCTGGGTCAGGTGGGCATCCCCTCTTTCCTTCCACAGTTCATTGTAGCAGAAGATGGTTCCTGTGGGCTTGTGTATGAGCATGCCGCAGCAGAAGGGCCCCCCATCGTAGCTCTTCTGGACCACGTCCTTGAGTTCACGTGAGTATGGTTTCTCCCTTCCCCCAGTTCCTCAGTTCCTGGTGGGTAACAGGGACATGGGTTGTAAGGGAACATCATTCTCCCTTGTGCCTGGAAATCTCTTTCTTCAAAGGAAGCCTGCAGAGGGGATGGGTTTTAGAGTTGGACCTAGGTATGGATTCTGGCTGGCCACTTCTAGTTGTGTGACCTTGGGCAAGTCTCTTCCCCTCTCCAGGCCTCAGTGTGGCCACCTGACTGGGCTGACCACCTTCAGCTTCCAGGCACCCTTCCTCCCCACCCCAACCCCAGGGATGGCCCAGACTGCAGAGGCATCAACACGAGCCTGCGGTCCTGTGTCCCATCCAGGAAGCAGCCCGAGCTGGTGAGGTCTCCCATGGTGCCCCTGCCTATGCCCAAGAAGCTGCGGTTCAACATCACCCCAGAGATCAAGAGTGACATCGAGAAGGCCAAGCAGAACCTTAGCATGTAAGCACCTGCCCTGCCAGGTCTGTCATTGTACCCAGTTCTGGCTCTGATATTGCACTCATAGGCCCCTCCTGGGATTGGCAGGTATTGTCAGGTACCTGCTGCCATCCTTTCTTCCCACTGGCCACCCTCCACCCTGCAGCACACCAGTCTGCCTCTCTGTGTCTCTAGGCCTTTGCATGCACTGTACTCAGCCTGCCATACCCTTTCTTCCTCCAACACAAGTTTCTCCCCTCACAGCATGATCCAGGACCTGGACATCATGGTAGTAATGTTCCACCACTTTGGGAAGGACTTCCCCAAGTCGGAGAAGATGAGCCCGGATGCCTTTATCCAGATGGCCCTGCAGCTGGCCTACTACAGGTGCGCCCCACTCCCTGCATGCCCAAGGAAGAGGGATGAGGTAGGCGGAGGCAGGAGGACAACCTGGGAGATGTGCTCAGCTCCATCTCCCACCCAGGATCTACGGGCAGGCGTGTGCCACGTATGAAAGTGCCTCCCTGCGCATGTTCCATCTGGGCCGCACAGACACGATCCGCACGGCCTCTGTGGACTCACTCGCCTTTGTCAAGGCCATGGATGACTCCAGTGTAACGGTGAGAGGTCCAGGACAAGGGTGTGTGATCTGGGCTGGAACCGTCCCCCTTCTTGTTAACTCACTTACCACATATGGATTGACTACCTATAGTGTTCCAGCCCTGTGATGGGCATTGGCAATCTAACAGAAAATGGAGCTGTAAATTTAGCCAAAGAAGAGAAGGAACCATTGATTAATTGATTGATTATTTCACTCACTCACTCACTCACTAGGATCACCAGAAGGTGGAGCTACTGCGGAAGGCTGTGCAGGCCCATCGAGCCTACACTGACATGGTGAGTGTGGCCCACTTATCCCCTCTGCGTGTCTCTTGGCATCCCCTACCTGTGGTCTATCTGCCTGTTCTTCTCTACAGCAAATGATGAGTAACCGTTAGTGGGAACTACCACTCCCCTGAGCCTTGGAGCACCTAGAGTAAGGCTGAATATCCTCATTCAGGAACAGGGGAAACTGAGGCTAGGCCCAGTAACTGCCCTGGTCATGGCTTTCGGGGTTAGCACAGGCACCTGGCTCTTGTGTTATACTCCCTCCCTGATCCCCTCAGACAGCAGACCAGCATGGGTTTTAGTCAGGGAAGAGGCATTCTGGGTTCTGATTCTGGCTCTGGTTCTGAGCACCAACTATGTGCCAGGCTCTGGTCAGCCTTGTTACATGTAGACATCCATTCAAACTTCACTGCCACTCTGTGAGGCAAGTTCAGTGATTGTCTCCACTTTACAGATGAAGACACTGAGGAGGCTCTAAGACATAAGTGACCTGCCCATGGTCCCACAGTCAGGCCAGCTAGCTCCAGAGCCTAGGCTCTTAAGTCTTGCACTGTACTCTCTCTCTAGGCAGGTGTGTCCCCTTTCCTGAGACTCCTTCCCTGTCTATGAAATGAGATCTCCCCTAGCAGGACACTCTGGTCTCATGGCATTCCAAAAGGCCAGTGAGTAGAAGAGGTGGTGCTAACACAGGCTTCTGAGGAGAGCAAGGACACCCTGTGGCCCACTTCCCCAGCTCCTGAAGGCTCTGCTCTCCCACAGGCCATCCATGGGGAAGCCTTTGACCGGCACCTGCTGGGCCTGAAGCTGCAAGCCATTGAGGACCTGGTGAGCATGCCTGACATCTTCATGGACACCTCTTATGCCATCGCCATGCACTTCAACCTCTCCACGAGCCAGGTGGGCCACTGTCCTTGGCTTGTCCAGAGATCCCTGCCCCTTCCCTAGGTCCCTGGGTTGGGATGGAAGAGAGCCTGCTGGGAGCTGGTGCTGAACAGAGACAGCACTGGGTAGAGCCAAGGTTCAGAATATGGTCAGACCAGGCTGGGTGGGTCATGGGAATTGGGAGTGATGTGGCCCACAGAGGCCACCATGGAGCCACTTCAGGAACAGTTCAGAAGGAGGAGCGGGGGGCCTCCAGGGGGCTTTACCGCCTGCTCATGAAAAGAGGTCATGGACACATGATGGGATAATTGGCTTCATTTATTTACTTGTCAGATGTGAATCTGTACACCTGGCCTGTGCCAGCCTTGCTGGGCACTGGGAAACAGTCCCTGCCCTGAAGAGGCTCAAGTCCATTTGGGAAAGCACAGAAATAAGGTGATGACTTCCTCTGAGAAGTGCTAGAGGTCAGGGAGCCAGAGAGAGCTGGGAGCCCCAGGGAAGGAGTAGTTCAAGCCACCCTGGGGGACCTCAAGGAAGGCTCTAGAGCTGACAACAGAAGTATACCCCAAAGGATGAAGAGGAGGATCCCCCCTCATTCTGTTGGAGGAGAGGAAAGGGCACAGTAGGCAGACTACAGTGTACACAAAGACCTAGAGACAGAAATGCAGGCTGGGGAGCCGGCGGGCAGCGAGGATGAGAGCTTTAGTCCTGTGCCATCCCCCAGGTCCCTGCCAAGACAGACTGCGTCATGTTCTTTGGGCCTGTCGTCCCAGACGGTTACGGTGTCTGCTATAACCCCATGGAATCCCACATTAACTTCTCCGTGTCAGCCTACAACAGCTGTGCTGAGACCAACGCCGCCCGCCTGTCCCACTACCTGGAGAAGGCCCTCCTGGACATGCGTGCCCTGATGCAGAGCCACCCCCGGGCCAAGCTCTGAGCCTCTTGGGCTCAGACCCGCCAATGCCACTGCCAGGACTTGACTCCTTCTTTGCTGGGGGTATCTCCCCTCTTCCCCTGACTCCCCCAGATCTGACTGAGCCAAGGGAGCATCCCCTAGTGGGGGCTGTAGGCCCAAGCCAAGTGCCTTCCATGGGTCATCTCAGCCCCTGCCGTGACCCTCCCTAGTCCAAGGTTGAGCTCAGAGGCTGAGCAGGTTCTAAGGCTCAGGCCTCTGGCACATCATTCATTGAGGCCCCTCCTGGAGAAGGGGTCCAGTCTAGCCTATCGCGTGCCAGAGTGCAAGACAAGGATAAAGTCCCTTTCCTCACCGGCTCTGCTCTGGCCAGTCCTTGTGCTCTCCACAACTGTAACCTGATCCCAAAACTTCCAAGAACCTGGAAACAGATTACCTGGAGCCAAGGAACCCCAGGCCACCTAGACTTTTCTGAGAGGCCAGGTGTGGGGATACAGTGAGGGGAGGCTGAGGCCTCCTTCTGCCCTGTGGCGTCAGCACCATTCCCCGGTGGCTTTCGTGCTCTTTTTGGATAAGTGGCTCATGAGCCTCAGCCCTCTCACTTCCACTCAGCTTGATTCTCTGACCGTGTTCATGGTGGTTGTATAATAATGACATATGAGGGAGTTAATAAAGGGAATATCTGTTGGTGAAGAGGTGCTTCAGCTGTGGGGGCAGGTGGGGGGGGTAGACACCTGGCCTTGCCCGTTTCCAGCTTCCCCTGGGACTAGAGCTGGTATCCAAGCACCTTATGGGTCCAAGGGCTCCTTGGAGGAGCCACAGGGCACTGGGCCAGGGGAGGTGCCAGAGCCAGGGCAGCACTCTTCACAGACCACTTCCCACCTACCCTTGACTTGGGCTTTCCCTGATCCAGCAGACTGCAGGCAGGGTCAGCTGTCCAAGGGGACTGTGGGCCTTTAGCCCAAGGGCGGGTAGACTAGGCAATGTGTGACTGACACCCAGGCCTCACTGAGGCCGACAGGAATGGTGGTGGCAGAGCGGGTATCCTCACTCCAGCCCTAGCTGACACCTGGCAAACACCTGACCAGAACCATTCACCACACCCCCGTGTACCTGGTAGAGGCAGGGTGTCCTACCAAAAGTCAAGTGAGCTGTGTTTGTAGAAAAAGGTGAGTTATTACTCACTCTGGCCCTCAAGGAAAGTATGTGTCAAACCCCTAGGATGGGGAAAGGGTAGGTTACTCAGCCAACTTCATGGCCCAGCTGACCTTCAAGACAGCCACATGTTGGTAGGCCTTCCCCATTTTTCAGGTGCAGAAACAGAAGCTTAGAAGTTAAGGTCACCTGGCCACTAAATGGCAGAGTGGAGATTCCCTGTGCTAGTCTCTCCAGGCCAGGGTCCTAGGAGTCCCATGGAGGAGACAGGTGGAAACTGTTGCGGGCACCCGTGACCTGGTGAGGAGGATAGACAGAGGCTGCAGCTGGCAGGTGTGGGAAGGAGCCAGCTAGACTGGGGCGTCGGTCAAAGTGGAGCTGACTTGTATAGGACACGCAAGGGTTTCCAGGGCCTGTGGCCTCAGCACATCGTCCCCCAGCCACGTGAAGATGGACTCGATAACAAGGTCTTCATCAGATGAGGCCTCATCATCACATGAGATTCCACTTACACACGCACTGCCCTCAGGAAGCAGAGGGGAGGCTTTCTCCTAGGCCTGGCCCTTCCTTGGGGAGCAGGCAAGCCTGGAAGAGGAGCCCACCAGGGCAGCCCCCAGCCCCCAAGCTTTGCTCTGCTGCCAGAGCTCAGGCAAGTCCCAGCCTTCTCCCCTGTATAATGGTGGTGATGGTGTTCCTTGGGGCATTACTGTGGGTCAGGAAGCTTGAGCCACGGCTGTGTGAACAGCGCCTGGGTGGGGCCCACACCCTCCCCAACCTGAGGCAGCAGCAGAGAGGAGTGATCCCTGCAAAGGGAACAGACAGAACAGCAGGAATCAGGAAACTGCAAGTTCTGTGAACCATGTAGGTCCGAATCCTGCGAGGCAGAATTTCCCCCACAATCACACTTCAGAAGCAAGGGCACCCTCTTACATTTGAGCTATTGCAGGTCTCATCACACTGGGGTGCACGCTAAGTTCTTCTGAGTCAAAAGGTACTGTTTGGGGGAGGCATGTTAGCAGCTGAAACAACCCAAATCACTGTTAAATGGAATGCTTAGAGGTCCTCTGGTGGAACTGGTGGGGAAAGTGGCCAAGATACAATAAAGATTTAGTGTGTGTGACCTCACAATTTACTAAGGTTGGATTTTGGGTTGAACAATTACAAAGAGGGCACCGAGGGCGGTGTCAGCACAATCAGGAGAGAAAAGATGAACGGCAACAGACAAAGGCTGGTTCCTCAGACGGAGCTCAAACGTGCCACGACCCTCCAACTATTTTTGCCAGTTCTGACACCAACTGTCCCTCCCACAGCACTCTGCTTTCTAATGGGTTTGATAATTTGTTCCAGTGGCCACACAGAACTCACAGACAATACTCAGGATTATGGGGTTTATTAGGAAAGCAACAGGTTACAGTTTAGGCTCAGGGATACAATTCTTCAATCAGGACAGCCTCCCTTTGGCCATGCCCACAGGCACGCCTCTTTCTTTGGCCCTTGGCCTCTCAGCCTGGCCTCTGCCCTACTCAGGCAAGTGTTTGAAGCTCTTTCAACTATGGCAATAGGTGCACCTAGGTGCACCCCACTCCACCAGCAAGCCTCCTACCCCAAAGCACTCAGCTTTCTAGCTCTGTGGGCCAGCAAGCCCGCCATTCGGTCTCCTGCTGGTCTCTTGGTTCTGTTGCCTCTCTGCCATCTTCTCAGTGCAGGGATCTTGAGTTCAAAGACAGAGTCTACAGCTGGCTCTTCTCTGTCTTGATGGTAGTGAGATCCCCCTTTTCCACCTCAGGGATGGCTCATTTTAAGCCCAGTGAGATGACAAAACTGACCAATCCCCATGTTCGAGTTCCATACACATTATGTGTGTGGTCCCAGCCCCACAAGAAAGCCATTTACCTCATTTACTTTATTAACAAGCTACCCACCCAATCCCCCTGGTGGACCACAAAGCACCTCGCATTTGTACCTCTCACCTCACATCTGGTGAGAGTCACAAAGACCATGGCTAGAAAAACCATATTAAGTAATTCACTGCCCCACACAAGTACTTTTAAGATGCCTGGAAAAACAGTGAGGTAAGTTATTGGTTGTGGTGATCACCAAGTGCAGTGAATTGCTTGACGTGGCCCTTCTAGCCATTGTCCTCCATTCTGTGGTGTTTCGTAAATCCCATTATCCATGCCTGTTTGGGGTGGTGTGGTAGTTAAGGTCAGGTATCAACTTGGCTGGGCAGCTGGTAGTAGTCATTCCCTATAAT